ATTTTCAACATAGAGTTCTGTATAAGCAAGAGTAAATAGCCCCCGGAGAGTGCAACTCAGATGGGTTTCTTTACCAGCCAAGTCAAAACCAGCAAGTTCTTGTGTTTGTAGTACAGGTAGAGATCAGCTATAGGGTTGGTGGTTATAAGAATATACCGGCTATAATGTTATCAGCTTCAGAATTCCAAATCTAAAGTATCTTTTCCACTCAAATTCAACGGTGGTTATAGGAGTAATCCGGTCTGTATATGTATATCATGGTTTGTAAGTTATAGGAAAATAGGGACAGTCGTGAATCAGATACATGTACTGCTCTATTACTATGTCAGTGTGAGGAGAATTAGAGGGAGAATGTCACCTGTCCGCCATGTGTCTCTATCCGTACAAGAGAGCAGACTGAGTATGCACAACTGCACATCACATTGCTCAGCTTTTCTCATCTTTAATTCCAGGTACTGTTTTGTAGAATCTACTAACTTACAAGCTTGAGCAGGCCAATGGGAGTTATAAAATTTGGACTTTGATGTATGTGCATGTGAGTGTGTTTAGTGGGGGATTGGGATTGGGGCTTAGAATGTGCAGATCCTTTGTTTGAAAGACATTCCTGCTCCATTTTTCTTGCTTTCTTCAGATACTAATTTCAGTGCGACGGCCGGCCGTGTGCAAGTACTGCTGGTACTATGGTCTGACCCTAACTGTCAACATTGCTAGCAAAGAACTGACGTGCAGTGAATGAAGCCTGTTTGTTAATTCTTGTAAGTTTCAGTCCTGGATCAACAGTTGCTGAACCACAGCACAAACACACAACACAGGCACGGTTAGCAAACACACCATTCCACTGATCACCAACTAGCGATTACCTTAGCCATCCTCTATGACAGTGTGTGTGTGAACTGTGTGGCATGCTTGCCAGCTAAGTTCATGAGTCAAACAGTTTGCTCGAGATCGAGACTGTAGATGTGTTCAGGCGGTAACTAGATGCTAGTTTAGACCAGAGACAGTTGTTGAAGGGGAAAGGATGTGTTGTACTGCAAGACCGGAGACAATTGGTTGGTATGGCAATGCAGAATTTTCCCTTAAAGGATTAGGTACTGAAGTATTTTTTACAGTGCTATGCAAGATAAAAAGTTTGAACTCTTATCAAGCTGTGCAGGACTTGAAATGGATTCTACAGACTCATCGGGCCTACCAGTGGTGTACCCAGGGGGGGGGGGGGGGGTGCTTTGGGTGCTCAACGATCCCCCTCAAAATGTTCGACATAGGCCAACGTTCATGATGTTGTACCCACAGGGGCGTAGGAACAGGTCCGGCAGGTCCGGCATCCGCCGATGCTTCGGCAAAAAAGAAGAAGGAAAAGGCAGCAAGCTCGTTTTCAACCATGCGGAGGGTCAAGTCCTACACAGTACAACCGGCCAGGAAAGGCTCAAACACATGACTCCTGATATTCCTGAATTTCCACAAGAAACTGCTGGATGTCTAGTGCCTGAAGAGTGAATTTGAATGTGGAAGTGAGCATCAGCTCTCCCAATTCAGACAGTTTTAAAACCTCAAGTCTTTCATGATACCACAGTATTTGTTCATATCAATCCTTTTACAAGTAAAATCACCCTCTTCATTCAGTAGAGACAGAGTCGAGTGAGCTGTATTCCCGGTGCCAATATGCGTGCTCACCACCCCTGTATGGCAACTTCCCCATGCCTAACCTCCAAGACAAAGTGAATACTGTTGTAGTCAATTCTGAAGTAGTCATACTGGGCGGAGTTAAAAATTAAAAAATTGCCACCTGTATGAGCTAAAAATCCGCTGGACCATTTGAAATCTGCTTCCTACGCCCCTGACCCACGCCACTAAAAGTATCATAACTTTTCCACCGTTAGTCTGATTTTTTTGCCTTCCACTCGCTGTCACTAGTTGATCATAGTTAACCGTGTTACATGTACTTAAATGTGCCAGGACGGAGGGCTATCCATATCGTCAGGGTCTCGACTTGTTCTATTCCGATTTTCCGGAAACACTCAGATCAGTTGTTCCGAAAAAGCGACCGAAACGATTGTTCACGAAAGTGTACTAATTTGTTGTTTCGGGCCATTGAAATCCTAAAAATGTTACGGCTTCTAAAAGGGTCGCTGTCCCTTCGACTCCCTGCCATTGAACACCTGCTTCTGATTTCTGCCAAGAGAAAGGTGGCAGCCCTCTGCTACTATCCTGTTTGTGAAGCTACCATTGTCCATTACACTTGCTTCCTCTATTACCTGATTCTATTTCTCCATACCAGAAGCAAGAGTAGATAAGCTCGTGGGAGCTTATTTACTCTTGCCAGAAGTTTTAATGGTAGTTTTACCTTCTTGCCCATTCGATAAGTGAAGTATGTTGTTCCTACACGTGGACTACCTCTAATTCGAATACGGTATAATTCAAACATTCCGTGTAATTCGAATTTTTTCGTCGTACCCGTCTTCTGCAAGTCACTTCAAGTCAATTTTTTTCATGAAAATAAATAAACACAAGCGCAACCTCAACAGTACAGGAAGAAAAAGAGCAAAAAATGGCTGTGAACACAGTCGAGAGAGCAAAAATGGCTGTGAAAACAGTCTAATACGGAGCCTCGGGAGGGAGTTAAAAAATGCCATGGCTGTGAACACAGTCTAGTAGAGATTTTAATGACTCTCAAAAGAACCTAACCGATACTGCTCATGGCAACCGCACATCGGGCCGAGTCGTTTGCATCTGAGGATACTCAGTGCCGATGGCCTCGCAGACTGGCAACAGCAGCACGGATGAGGGTTAAGCTTCGCTTGCCTCGGATGTACGAGATTGTGGCAGAGTACGGCTCCTGCTTCTTGTCGGCTGAGCTGCTCGCCGCCTTCTGCATGAGTGGGAGGAGCTCAATGGCATACATGGGCATTGCCATCGGGTCTCCCTGGGTGGTGCCCTCCTCAGAAAGAAGACAATCCCCATCGACGAACAACCGTGCGGGATGCCGGTAGGTGTTGGTAACGGCACCCGCGATGGCCGGACCTGAGAGGTGACGGATGTTGTGCAAGCACACACTGCGGTTCAGCCTGTTGAACGCATTGCTTGCGTCTGCTAGGAGGACTGCTTCGGTGTCTTCCTCGTTCCACAGGTGCCGCATTGCGTGTATTGCTGCTTTCAATGCACATTCTTGGCCGCCACACAGCTGAAGCGACCCGACCGCCTGTTGGATCTGCCTTCCGATGATGGTGAGGATGGCTTTGCCTACTATCCTTCTGAGGACTTCACATACCGTAAAATTCCGTTAATAAACCCCGGGCGTATACTTTGCAGAGGTTCAAAAACCGGGCGTATATTTGGGCATGGGCTTATCTTAGGGCATGGGCGTTATTTCGGGTGCAGAAGATGTACCTCTCAGCAACCCACTAGTTTCAGTGAAGCACCATTCTCACTGAGCACGGTACACGTACATGTACATCAAACCAACTCTGGAAATTTGATCGTAACCAAGAATGTAGCGATAAATTACAGATTTGATAGGTAAACCACTTGCTATGGTAAGTACAAGGCACAACAGGTAACGGCATGGCTGAAAACGTCTACAACTGTTATACAGTTTGTACGCGAACACACGCTCGCGCGCTGGTCATTTTGTGTCCACTTTACGCCCTGGGCTTATTTCGGGCATGGGCGATAAAACGGACTTGAAGTGTACACCGCCTAAAACTGGGCTTATTATCGGACATGGGCGTTATTTAGGGTGGGCTTATTTACGGAATTTTACAGTATGCCAATTGGGCGCACCCCGGACTTCTTATCCAGAGGCACCAAGTGGCATGCTGTGAATGGCTTGAGGGGGATTGGGTTGATGATTCCGGTGGCGATGCGCTTAGCACAGGCGGCGAAGCTATCACATAGCTGGTCCGAGGACGCTCCAAACGTGGTGCACAAACGTTTCCAGCTGGTAGAGTCCATGGCGGATGGGCCCTAGCACCGATTGCCGAATGATGTCTCTGTTCAGAGCTTCGAACAGCACTGGGTGCGGCAATTCGGGGCAGGGGCCGATGATGAGGGCATCTGCATGCATGGGTTCCGCCGGCAGGTGCTTCTCTTTCAGCGTTTGTCTCACGGTTTTACCAACAGTGGAGGAGTCCAGATTTAGCAGCCCACCCGAAGGTGTTGCTGTCAGGGACTGGAGATCTGCACCCAGTTCACCATTTGTGATGAGGGTAGTGAAACTTCGCGCGCCATCTGGACTTTGGGCCCGTTTCCTGCCACGTTCCTTGGTTAGTTGGCGTTGGATGGTACGTGCCTCCCGGACAAGCTCATCGATGTCCCCCTCGTTCCAAAGCTGCATTCGTCGGTTCAGACATTCCACATACACCTTGCGTGTCAAGCAGTTGACCGGTTGTTGCAGTAGAACACTGTGGCACACCATAAGTGCCTTCAAGGCTATGCCTTCTCCCGCTGCGTTTGTTCAGAACGTGTTGAGGTAGCGAGCGCTCAAGTCCACCACTGACCTGCAATGTGCACCCGATAGGATGGAGAACAGGTTAGGCCGGAAGTGTGCGATTTCCTCGTACGCTGTAGATATGATCTGCCCTGTGTCCTCGGGGCTCAGCTCACCGAGTCTGAGTCGTTGGTCAGCTGGCGGGATTGGGGGTGTTGCAGCCCCCTGCCCACTAGCTGTGCCATGCGAATTTGTGGATTCCGGCTCGCTGTTGCTATTGAGCTGCGAGGAGCTCAGGCTCGCCAGGAGGGCGACCTCTTGTGCAGTTGGTTGTCGGTCTTGCAGTGTAGCATTGGCATACGCCCAAGTCTACTACTATACACTGTGTGTAAGTTGATAACCTGTATCAGTATAGTAGAGTGTTAAGTGAAGACACATGTAAAGCCATTACAGTGTAGTTAGTGACTAAGAATGAGCATAGGCTGCTCATCCATGATTCATGATACATTCTCTTCTGAATATTATCAGTACTTTAAAACCTGCCTTCTATTCTCAAATTTCCTTCTTTCAGACACCACAACAAACGTGTGCACCTTACACACTGTACCGCCAGATGTAAAGGTTGCGACAGCGTAGCAAGGAAGGAACTGATCACTGCAGTGAATGAGGCATTGTCAACTATTGTATGTTGGAGTGACCTGGATCACTAGCCAAGCTGAGTTTCTGGTAATCACATAATCCAGCTGTTCAACGCCTAGCAGCTGCTTTCATCTCCATAGTGGTGAGTTGTATTGCGGAGCCATGGCTACCATTGCTAGCTTCTGTATTCCTGGGAACTTGTGCCGGATAGTATTGGGTCTGTTGCCAACGGGCTCGGCTGCTTGAAGGTGTAATGTTGTACCTACCACCTTTGTTGGTTTCAGGGTTCATACACTTTCTATTTGAAGTATACCTGTTAACCATGGACTACTTCTGGCTAGATTAACTCTTGTGTAATCATGGTGCTAACTGTTAGTGAAGCTTGTATCAGATCCACTCTGATTTAGCCACCCACACTAGTAGCAAGTATTACCTTCACTGGGGGCAAGGGTAACTGCAGTTGGATCCCGGGACGGATACCCTGATGCCGTCAATCCTTTTCTGCACCTTGTACTCACCCACTTACTGAGGTGTGGTGAGCCCATAAGTGGGATCATTTTCAAGTCCACCCAGAGTTTTGGGGTTTTCAGGGGGTGTCGGCCGTTGGGCGGTTCAATGGCCAATTGAGTCATCTTTCCAAGATTCCTTTTCAGTCTCTCTCCCCTCTCCCGGAAAGACCCACGTGACAAGTTTTGGCATTGAGCAACAAGTACAAGTGTGTGTGTGTGTGTGTGTGTGTGTGTGTGTGTGTGTGTGTGTGTGTGTGTGTGTGTGTGTGTGTGTGTGTGTCCCATATGGTGCAGTGGTATGTGCAGTCGATTTCCAATCGAGAGGTTGCCGGTTCAATTTCCGACGATTATGGTCGCACACGTCTTTCTTCTCTTTCTCATTCTCCTAGCTCTTCTTTCATCCTCCTGGGTGGTTACCAACAGCCAGTGTATGCCGGAGTATGTGGTGTGGCGTGTGTGTGTAAAAAAATAATAATAATAATGAAAAATAGGGATTCGCTGGCCACTTAACCCTCACACCACAGGAAAGATGAGCCAGTGGGGTGTCGCAAGCTTATATTGAACGTGAGCACGACATGATTATTGTGATCATGATGACGTATAACATAGTTCGCGTGAAATGATCGGACTGGGCCGTCTAAAGCCGCCCATCTGAAATCTTGTATGATAGGAACAAATAACGCCGTCTATCGGCTATGAAAGAGCGTTTGAAAGATGACCCATGGGGACATGAAACAATCATAAAGGCTGGGTGTACCAGTACATTGCTATGGCAACTGCATGACCACTAAGTACTCGGTAGTACCCACAAGTATATTAATTGTATTGTCTGCGGCAGCCGATGGATGTGCACCATGCGGATTTCGTGCCCATCGGCCGAGCCTGTGTCTCCCCTCCGTCCGCTAGGTGTGGGAGGGTGGGAAACAAAATAGCGTGGCGAGCTCTCACAGCAAAACAGACAACTGGCAAAAATACACCAGCCAGCAGTAGATGAGCCGTCTACGGATGCATCCGCCAGGCGAAGGGTGGCTCGTGCGGGATGTGGTACGCGAGTGCTAATCGAATGCGGAACTTCGCAAGAGTGCGTGCTTGCGCAAGTCGGCTGCGGCGGCACGGCGGAGTGCGTTAGGTCACCTAAAGTCATCTAGCGGGAATATTCCCTTGCGGGGGCGCGGCCCGTGGCGTGCTGGTTAAAGGGGAAGTCCGGTGAAAAATTTAAATTTCACAGTCCTTAGAGTTCGGGTCGCTGAGTCGAATGGTCTTTGTCCGAGGAGGCTGCGGCCAATGGTTCGTCAGATACGCCCAATCGAACATGTGCGAATTTGAGCGCGCATCACCCAGATCCAGGTGATGACGTCACAGCGTGCAGCCAGGTAGCCACGCCATCTAGTTGTGTACAAAAATGGCCATATTCGGAGCGCGTTCGATTGGGGAACCGTTTGTCGCAGCTTCTTCGGACCAAAACCATTCGATTCAGTGTTACAAACACTACGTACCCTGTGATTTTCAGCTCGGTAAACCTGGAGGTTATACCGTATTTTAGCCGTTTCCGAGTTGGACTTTTCCGTCAGCCCGTCTACGCGCTTAGCGCTGCGTGCATGCAGTGCGTGCAGTGTGTTATCTAGCTGTAGACGAGTGTAGTGCAGTCAACAAACTCATGTCACAACTGACACAAGACTCAGAAAACTAGTCAACACACGTAACGGACTTGTCATGTACTACACTCGTATCAGTCGTATTGTACAGTCATGTAGTCAGAGAACGTGCGTTTCTCCTTGCCGGTGCAGGTGCCGGTGGTTGTGCTTTGAGAAAGAAAATTTTAGTTTTCCGCTCCCGCCTCATTATTTTATGCTACAGCGATGAGTGCACAAACGCGACAAGTGACAAAACAGCGAACAGCTCCCGGACCTAGAACTTTCAGATTCCATAGCGTTGCGAGCGAAGAGTCGTGCCCGTGGTTCAAAGAGCCTGCCCTGTTCTCCAATTGAGTAGTCCGAAATATTCCAAAACAACACCATGTGGCAGGCTACTGGAGTCTAAGCGAATCTAATCGGTATGGAACAACATTTAGAGCACTCGCATCACTCTTCTCCATTTTGGCGACCCTGCTCTCCAGCGATCTGATAATTACATCAGCCTCGTCTGCAATAGCTGCTGCTTCTTCATCAGTCGGAAACTCAGTAGCGCTCACTCTTGACCGGCCCACGCGGCCATTTCTTCAGCTGAATACCGAGGTTTTCAGCCCCAGACCGAACTCATGAAGGTCAGCCATGGCTGCATCCTCACTCTCACAAGGAGTTACAGGTCTTCGGGGTCGCTTGCACCACCTAATATCAGTCGCCAAATCATTTGAAATAGCACTGACACACTTTCACGCACTCCTTTTGACCCACTTTGCTGCACGCTATGACGTTGCAGAGGGTGTGGCGCGGCCGCATGACGTCATGGCGCAGCCCCCGAAACTCAGTTTTCAAACGGAAATATCTCGAGAACGCTTTGTCGGAGACACGTGGGACCAACACCATTCGACTCAGCGCCCGAAACTCTACCGACCCTGAAATTTAAATTTTTCACCGGACTTCCCCTTTAACTACGGTTTGCGCAACGCAAACCAACATTTCAATCATCTGTGTGGTGGATACCAGGCTAAAAATTAGTGGCGGTCAATTATAGTGCGTTTCAAAAGTATAGACCTCTAGACTTTTTCGAATAATTCAAATTTGGTTTGAGCTTTTTGAGAAATTTCTTCGGAATATTGCTCAGGCAGCTCACGCAATTTTTCTCATGTAAATTTCTAAGCGATTGGATAACAGACGCCCAATTTCGAAAATTTGATGCACAAAGTGATCACAGATTTTATGTGGTATAGATTCTGGCCAAACGGTTTTTTGAAACCAGAGGTCTGGACTTTTGAAACGCACTATTGTGGCGGTCATTTCATCAGTCTTGCAAGCTGTTGAATGGTGTAATCCCAGCAAAAGTTGCTATGTCCAACAATGTTACATAGCTGTTCGCTATCGTCACTTCCGCGATGTCTTAGGTGAGGTGTGTGTGTGTGTGTGTGTGTGTGTGTGTGTGTGTGTGTGTGTGTGTGTGTGTGTGTGTGGGTGTGCGCGCGTGCGTGTGTGTGTGATTTCCAATCGAGAGGTTGCGGGTTCGATTCCCGACGGATATGGTCGCACACGTCTTTCTTCTCTTTCTCAGACTCCTCCTGACCTTTCTTTCATTCTCCTGGGTGGTTGCCAACAGCCAATGCATGCCGGAGTATGTGGTGTGATGTGTGTGCAGAAAATATGAAAAAGACCAAACGTAGGGAGTCACTGGCCAGAAAAAGCCACTTCATAGCTGTTTGTTGTAGACCAGGCTGAATAGCGGGGGTCAATTCTTCAGCCTTGCAAGCTGTTGAATGGTGCAATTCCAGCACAAGTTGCCATGGCTTCTGCTGTAGCATTGCCATCATCGCCTCCTGCGATGGGCGTCAAAAGCTCAAAGGTCAAAGGATAGTGTGTGTCTGTGTATGTGTGTGTGTGTGTTTGTGTGTGTGTCTGTCTGTTTGTATGTCTGTGTGTGTGTTTGTGTGTGTGTGTCTGTGTGTGTGTGTTTGTGTGTATGCAGAAAACTACACAGACCATGACTGCAGTGAAGAGTGTATGAGCCGTGCTACAATAACCAGTTTATCATCGACCTGAAAGTACTTCAAAATGTCTAACAGTAAGTCAGACCAGCAGTCCACCATAATTGAATGTGCAGTATCTTAGCAACAAGCCTTTGGTTACTTGTGATTACAAGAGCAAACAAGAAACAAAACTCCTATAGACAACAGACTTGCTATAGAAAGCAGATACCTTGTAGAGAACCAAACCCATTATGGAATGTTTGTTGCTTACAACCTTTGAACCGGCGCTTTCCTGCCGACTTGACTTGTCATTTGACTGATTGTGACTGCCATCCTGCACAGCCGTCCGTATACAAGAAATCCATCAAATGGTTCACTTTGCAAACATGCAAGAAAACACCTTCTCTCTGCTTAAAGTACAGTTTTACCGGGAGGTCACCCCACATCAGTTGAGGTTGATTATGCTATTGGAAGGGGGGAGGGGGTGCACAAGACTTCATGATGTTGATGTGTCCAAACATGACCCAGTTGTCATGGTGATTGGTTGTCCAGGATACTGTTTCATAATTATTACTCATGGTTATCTGTCCATGCTGTTTTGATTAGTTCAACATTCCTGTATATTTGGTTTTGTGTCTTTTCGTATTCTTTAGATGAACCATTTGGTGATCCCAAGTTCATTTCCAATATCTTACCCTGGATTTATAAATTGGATACAACGAGCTTTCGACATTCTATGCAGGACAACGGTGCGTTCACAAGTACAACACAAATTGAGACACTGGAGCGTCTGGAAAAATACGAAGGAAAGGAAAAGCATAATTCTCACATCATCAGTCTTATTCGTCCTGGAGGCACAGCTGCTTATAAACTACTCTGCAATGCAATCCATGACTTGGGTCCATTGTACAATGAAAAGTACCAAGAAATGCTTCTCCTGTTGCCTGTTGACCAGCGACCAACGACCAAGACATCCTCTTCCGAGACAGGTAATTGATATGTGTAGAATGGGGAGGGTTTCAGGGTTGTGGATGTATCATTAACAGTCTGAACATGCCCAATTTATACATTGCCACCAACCAAACTTCTGCTGTCAGGGAAATTTTAGTTTTGTACCTTACCAGCAGAATACAACTCATTACACCAAAGTGTCGTCTAGTTAAAAGTGAACTATACCCCTCTTGCGGCCGCGATACACAACAGAAGGCCAGCTGTTTAGTTGGAGAGAATACTTTGTTCTTTCTCTAAGGAAATGTCTGGACAACTGACGTATGACAACTGACAAGTGAATAATATCCAGGAAAGTGGTGCACTCATCAGCACAAAAGGTGCACGGGTCAGCGATACAATGCTGTCCCAATGTGGACCAGTGCGAGAAGTGTGTACAGAGCGGGTGACTATAAAGCCTAGTTCACATTCGACGGGGCACGACGGGACGTGACGTAAGGATCGACGAGAAGCGACGGGACAGTCTGACGGCGTCCAATGTGAACACCAGGAACGGGAACGCAGCTGTACTGCCGTACAGATCGGGAAGCGACGGGAAGAGTTGGATCGATCCAACTTGTCATACCGTAGACGGGCGTAGTCAGGATGCAAGTGTACAAAACAGCTGCATTTTGAGTGTGAACAGGAGACGGCGTTGTGCGCCGACTACTCCCGTTTCGTACTTGGGAAATTTTTAGCATTTCGAACACTGTGCTTCCCATGATAACTCGCAGAATGGCTAACACGACTTGAGTTGAATTTTAGCAAGATACGGTCTGGTGTCACTTATGGTATTTTGGGATAGTTCAGGAGCGTGACAGACGAACTGTTTTATCATTCCCTGGAGCTATTATTTGAATAGCACGCCTTTCGATGCTACATTTTTGGTGTTGATGAAAAACTGGTATTGTGAACTTGATTCCGCTTCATTCAAGGAGAAATAATTGAAAAGAAGTACCGAAGAACAAAAAATAGGTCCAAAGGTCACCCTGTCATGGGCCGTGCCTTATGACAGGCGTCGTTCGCTGCTGAACGACGCAACGACTGCAGCATGTCGTGTCGTACGAATCGTACAAGATTTTACAGCTCACCCCAGCCTTCCCGACAGGCCTTACGTCCCGTACCGTCAGCGTTCCGTCGAATGTGAACTAGGCTTTAAGCATGCGAGTACACACCTGAGGCAAAAGCGCAGCAGCGTGTACCACGATTCAGCAGCATGTACAACGATTCAGCAGCGTGTACCACGATTCAGCAGCATGTACCACGATTCAGCAGCATGTACCACGATTCAGCTGCGTGTAAAATGATTCAGCAGCGTGTACAACACTATCCCCCACCGAAAAAAGACATCCTCTCCTGAGGATGAAAGCGAAACAAATAAAGCCCAAAAAATCGAAGAATACAGATTGGAGAAGACGGAAAGATGAAAGAAATGAAAATGTGAATGAGCATAAAAATGCGAGAATAAAACACAACATGTATGACCACAATTGTTGGACACGTGACGAGTAGCCGCACGCTGGACTCCGCGACGCTGCCGGGAGCGGTGAGACCGACGGCACTCACGGACCGAGAAGACAGTGGCAGCAGAACTGGGTATCCAGGCATCTTGCAGCACAGGACGCACACTAGAGGGTTGACCGAAAAACCACAACACAGCCGATGGGGTTACAAAAACTCACAGAGACACAAAGACGGACACAAAGAAACACAGACTAACACAAACATCTCAACCATCGCCAAAAATCAGAAAAGAAAACCACACGAAGGAATAGAAGAACAGCAAGGAAGAACACGTCTACAGAAACAGGATCAATTAGTCAGTGAAGATACCAGATACCACGCAAACAAATCGGTTACCAATACGCATAAAAGATACTACACAAAAAATCACACGGCGCTGCCCTGAATGTTTCTTTTGTTGAAGCCATTCAGTTCAGTTCTTATGTATGAGTGTATGTAAAGAGTACAATCAGTGGTTCACACACACACACACACACACACACACACACACACACACACACACACACACACACACACACACACACACACACACACACACACACACACACACACACACACACACACACACACACACACACACACACACACACACACACACACACACACACACACACACACACACACACACACACACACACACACACACACACACACACACACACACACACACACACACACACACACACACACACACACACACACACACACACACACACACACACACACACACACACACACACACACACACACACACACACACACACACACACACACACACACACACACACACACACACACACACACACACACACACACACACACACACACACACACACACACACACACACACACACACACACACACACACACACACACACACACACACACACACACACACACATACACACACACACACACACACTCGCACACTATCTACATTTAGGAATATACTTGTCAACATATCATCACAGTACATCTGTACAATGATATACCATCAAACAATTTGTTCTTTTTCCTCTTTCCTGTCCTGTGTTTCACCACAGTTGATGTTGCTACTATGCGTGCAGGCAGCAACACAGCTAACGATGGCACAGTGACATGTAATATACTGTTAGTGAATGATGATGGAGCAGACAATGGTGGGCACATTCAACGTCTTAAACAACATCTACACAGAGTGAATACACATCTGTGCAAGACCACCGCTGATCATTCAGATCTAACTTGCTTGTCCGGCGATGTCAAGGATTGCTTCGTGCCCATGCAGGCTCTGACGGAGAAAGATGCTCTGCAGCTGACGTATCGTGCGCAACAAGCTGCAACTCGCCGTGTCACTGGAAGACAGCCAATATCTGACCGTACACCAGGCGTTGCTATCCCAGGAGCTAAACAAGATAAGAGTGACAAAGTGGAAGGAGGAAGGCAGTTTGTTCTGTCCAGCGCTAAGCAGCTCTTGTCTGATCCCCATTATTATGAAGGTGTAACTAGCGCTGGCAAAAGTGGTGCTGGTGTTGGTGGTGGTGATGACACAGTTGACACAGACATTCTGGAAAGTTGCATCGTAATTGGGAACGCTGGGCAGGGAAAGACAACACTGAGCAAACGAGTCATTGCCGACATCATGGAGACAACGACTGGAAATCTGGCAAAGATTGAATTCATTTTCTACGTGCCATGCCGTGATTTGACACGTACACAGTCGACTGATTGGTTTGTATTTCTTGGTTTGGACAAGTTGGGCATCAGTACACCGGAGCAATCTACCTTGCTAAGGTACCTAACAGAGCATTCTGACCAGGTATTGATCGTTATTGATGGCATCGACGAACTTGGCAGTGGTGGGTTTGGCAAAGGATCAGCAGCCCAAGCTGTAATATTGAGGAGCAGCAGCAGTAACCATTCACTACTACCTGATGCTATTGTAGTCGCAACTAGCCGACCGTGTGATGAAGCGTATCACCATATCCAGAATTTCCGCTTACGTTTCCGACTTCTCGGCTTCTCGACAGACCAGCTCTTTGCGTACTGCTCACGACAGCTCGGAGAGGAGGTTGCCAAGAAGTGTATGACAGAGCTCTCACAGCCGCCCAACTGTCTGCTGAAGGAAGCCATTCGACAATCTCCACTCCTATGTGCTCTGCTCGTCCAGCAATATCCCATCAACAACTCTCTACCCTCCAGTGTGACACTTTTCTACGACCACTACTTACGCTCCTCAGTCGCAAAGCTGGAAAAGCGGCGAGGAAGGAAGTTTGGTCAAGTACGGCTTGCACATGACGTCATCAGTCACTGCAGTGGTGGCCGGCACTTCAGTTGTGGTGATCTTGTCAGTATCCCCGTGGTAATAGAACATCATTTGGAGCGCTATGTGAAGGAGACAAGCAACAATGATGAGGAGTGTGATCACCATGCTGTGGAGCTAGTCAAGGCATTGCACAATCTCTACACAATGTGTCTTGCAACATATCAAAGGGGCATGGCTACGTTTACATCCACGCTGTCAACCCTCCACCAGTCCATTTGTCAAGATCTCGGCTTACTGCTCAACCCTGGTATGCATCCGTCGTTCGTCGGTTCCACTCAGACTGTGTCCTTGACTCACTTGACACTGCAAGAGTGGTGTGCATCGAGATGCATCATTTCTTCTGACTCGTGCGTAGACATCATCCGCAGCTGCATCAACACTGTCGGCACAGACTTGAACACACTTGTCTTCTGGCAGTTTGTCTTTGGAGCACTGAAGCCAGACCTTCTTTGTCCATCATTGCCGGCTCTACAGTCTGAAAACAGCATCAGTGATCATACTGTCAGGAGCAAGAAGAAGATGCTTCTGTTCATGATGAGATGTTTGATGGAAAACCGCATTTCACTCCAACATACCCACACTCAGGGAAATCCCAATCAGGACACTGACATAATCACCCGTAGCTGCTATGCTATGTCAGCCAACCTCCTGGCCAGTGACGGAATTGATGTTAGTGGAATCCACCTTGAAGTTGTTGATGTGATGGCTTTACATACTGTTTTGGAGCTTGTAGACCATGTAAAGTCTCTGGATCTCGACGGTTGTAATCTGTCAAGTGCCAGTGTCATTTTGCTGTCTGATCAACTGGATAAATGCGTCAAGGTGACTTTGTTTGGTGCCAATATCACTGCAGCACCATTGGCAAGCATATCAAGCACACTGTCTAGATCAACACGGCGTACCCTCCAGGTTCTTGACATTAGCAACACAAGGTTGACCAGTGGATCTGCAGATGGAGCAGCACTTGCTGGATGTGTAAAACACCCAAGTCTAACGGACCTGAATGCACACTATACAGTACTTGGCAATGATGGTCTGGCAGCATTTGTGAGCAATTTGGCTCCGTGTAACCATCTCACACATCTATCACTGGCATGGTGTAGACTGGATAGTGGATGTGGATCTGACCTGGCAACACTGGTCACACAGTTACCACGCCTTTACAGTCTATGGCTGGGTGACAACTCACTCTGCAACAGTGACGTGTCATGTGTACTATCCAGTCTCCATTCTCATGATACCATACAGCATCTTCTCTTTGACAACAACGAACTGACTGATGAGCTAGCCGCTAGTGTGGTTGACTTTCTGCAAGCTCGTCGCGGTCGTGAGCACACTGGGAGTGTCAGCACAACACTACCACCATGCAGGGTTTATCTGAGCGGCACTGGTGTAACAATCCGTCTTCTACAGGAAGTGGCTACGTCCAGTCAATGTGGTGGTGACGTAATCGACATTGGCAGCTGCTTTGCTACTGGTACTTCAGTACGGATTATGTCAATTGATCGTCTGGTCAGTGTACATGGTGGTCGCCTACACTGTACGGTTGATGACTCCATGATGTCATCACTTGGTCAGAACCTTGCAACCAACACTGACCTAGACCTACTGGACATAGCACTGTGTAACATCACCGATGCTGGAGCAACTGCTCTGGCAACATCTGGCCTTGCTCACAACACAGTGCTGAAATACCTTGATCTGTCCCAGAATAGGATACAGCTATCTGGTGTTGTGAGTATACTACAAGCAGTGACATCACCACAGTCACATGTCAGTGCATTGGATCTGGAGGACAACCCAGTGTTTCATGATATACAGCCCAGTCATGCTGATTGCAGACTGCTATGCCAGCTTCTCTCTGGATTCCACCGGCTGCGCTTCATTTCATTTGCCAAGACGGGTATGAGTGATGAAGTGGGTACACGTATCCTACACTCTCTCCATCACCATACACGTGTTGAATGGATGTCTATGTCAGGCAATAAGATTGATGATGCCACAGTGCATGCCCTGGTGGATATGATGAGGAAGAACACAAGCTTGAGATTGATCAGCCTCGTGTACTGCAAGATCACCGATGATGGCATTCAAGCTATGCTGCAGTCATCAGGCATCATGAGGATGGAGGGTGTACACTTGTACGGGAACCC